GGCACCCACCCTCCAACCAACCAACCACCCACTCACTCACAGAAAACTACCAGTGGCACCCACCCTCCAACCAACCAACCACCCACTCACTCACAGAAAACTACCAGTGGCACCCACCCTCCAACCAACCAACCACCCACTCACTCACAGAAAACCACCAGTGGCACCCACCCTCCAACCAACCAACCAACCACCCACTCACTCACAGAAAACCACCAGTGGCACCCACCCTCCAACCAACCAACCAACCAACCAACCAACCAACCACTCACAGAAAACTGACTAAAAAAAGCATCAACAAAACAAAACAGCAGATAGGCGTTTCTTGAGTCCAATAATCTGGTTATATCACATTAAATTTCTCCTCCCATTCAGAACAAAAAATGAAACACACGCACAAAAAAAAGGCCTAAACTATAGCAATGTGGAGAAATTAGACCCTCATCATACCGACACCAAGTCGTCAGCATCATTCAACTAGTGCCCAAGTCAGTTTCCAGAAGTTTCCAGACGAAGTCATTATTTTTTAAAAACACCAAAAAAAATAATTTAAAAAAAATTTTTTTTAAAGAAAGAAAGAAAGAAAGAAAGAAAAAAATCTCGGGGCACTTTTAATATTATATAGATCTATATCTATATATTTTTGTGTTGTTTATTCATTTCCTTCCTCTCTAGTTTTTTTTTTTAATAGTAAAATAACGAGATCCCGAATCGGGGCTCTGATTTGGCCGCTTTCTGTAACTTTGAATTTCTCAAAACTTCCAAAATCAAATGACTTGGGCACTTGTGGACTGGCACTGAGCCTGTGCAACTTTGTACGTGCCACAGGGAGAATTTAGAAACATCTCCAACCCATACCAGTCAGGACGTTTGTTTTTGTTCTTTCCTTTCATATGAAATAAAATTTCTTTGAAATGAAATTTCTTGAAAATTGTCTCGGCGAAATGGCTGAAAAAAATTTACAAAAAGATTGCGTTCTTCTATCATCTTTGAGAGAAGGACTGCCAGCCAGCCACAAGTCCAACTTTAACCCCGCTCACCAACCACACACACACGCACACACACATCGATCTCGTGCCACACTCCCACCACGCCCCCACAACACAACGGCCACACCCCCGAACAAAACAAACGCACAGACATCAGCCGTTGACCAATCAGAGCAGAGTACATGACCGAAAGAAGGACTTTTTCTGAGAACCCCCATCCTTGCTGGCCAGCTGGTGACCGCTGGCTTTGCTGCTCGGACCGGAAGAATCCTGAAACAAAACAGTCAAAAAAAATTAATTAATAGTTGAAATTGTTCGTTTGTTTGAGTAAAGAGAAGCACATCATTGACTCAATGAAGGTTATTTAGTACTGGGAAAAAGTAAGACGAACAGACAGAAACAACAGGGGTGGTACGATACATTAAGAAGTAGGACCTACCAGTGGCGTCCTCCTACCACATGCCTCGAAACTGTCTAAGACGGCTGCTCATTCACGCGTGAAAAATAATCAGTTTTCTGAACCACTGTCAGTTATAGGCATAGAAATAGCAAGTTACAGCAAAACCAGGCGATCTGGTGGATACATTTTCAAAAGCTGGCTATTCAAGAACTGTTCTTGCTATAGACATACATATATATAAACCACGGAAATTAAAGACGTCCACCCGTGGTGCAGAGAAAACTAGCAGTATTAGACTGATGGACATCTTACACTATGTCATTATAAGGTAAAAAAAAATTAATTAAAAAAAGAAGAAAAAAAAGAAGGAAACCCCCCCCCAAAAAAACCACCCAGGAGGGGGGGGGGGGGGGGGGGGGGGGGGGGGGG